TGCAAGTGTGCTTCCCAGAGTCTTTGATGCCCACCTTCTCCCGACTGTGTACCCTTACCAGCCTCTCTTGCAGCCAGACGCAGCCAGTGACACAGTTCTGACCCATTAGATGCCAAAAAGAGTCCAGGACACTTCTGGGAAACCTTTTGCTTTCCTGATAAAAAGGGGCAGAGACCCAGCTGGTGCAGTCCTGGAAACCTGCTCCTTCCCTCCCCCCTTGAATACAGACGTGATATCTGGAGATGCAGCAGCCATCTTGAGACCATAACAGGACAGGTAATGGAAATGTGGCAGACAGAATGACACCCACCTCCCAGAAGTGCCCACATCCTAATCCCCAGAACCTGTCAAAATGTTAAGTAATATGGCGAAGGGGGATTGAGGCTGCTAATCAGCTGACCTTGAAATGGGGAGAGCATCCTGGATTCCCCAGGGGAGCCCAGTGCAATCACAGGGTCCTTAAAGGTGGAAGATGGAGGTAGAAGAGGGGATCAGAGAAGAGCTGTGATGAAGAAAGAAGGGCAGAGATGCAGCATTGCTGACTTGGAAGATGCAGGAAAAGGCCAGGAAGTGGGTTTTCCCCTTGAGTTCCTGGAGGAACACAGCCCTGTGACACCTTGACTTTAGCTCCGTGAGACCCGTGTTGGACTTCTGACTTCCAGAACTGTGAGAGAATACATTTGCGTTGTTTTAAGTGGCCAAGTTTGTGGTCATTTGTCACAGCACCTCCAGGGCACTGACACAAGCCATACGAGATGCTGGCTTGCCCTTGTCGAGCAAACAAACTGAGGCCAGCAGCTGTCTTCCTCCAGACATCCTTGTCGTGTGAGAAGAATGACCCCATGCTGGTTTAAGCCACTTCAAGATGGACTATTTGTGACTTGAAGCTTAACACGTTTCTAACTGCCATCTGTGTCAGCTGGAGAAGCTTTCATTTCAAAATTCCTTTTGTGAGAGAGAAAAAGCATCACCAGCTAAAAATGTAAATTGAACCCTAGGACAGTACCCCCAAGGTCTGACGATGAACTTTGGGCAGCCCTGGGACCTTTCTGGGGAAAGGAAGGTATAGTGAGATCAGAGTCCCTTGAGCAATTCTCTTCATAAAACTTTCTCTTCATATAATGTCCTAAAGCCCTCAACATTCTAAAAAGGGAAGCAGATTGTTAAGTAAGTGTTTATTGAACCATAAAGTGGACCTATGACAAAAAAGTTAATTGCAATAAACAGAAGGGTTACCTTCTCTGGGCACTGTGGCCACTACATGGCAGGGTCCCTGGGGTAACAGATGTGTTTGCAGTTGCCCACCTGATAGGACTGGCCACGACTTCTCCAGTTTAATGGCCACTCAGGACTGGGTTCCTTGTGTCTTACTTTTTATGGCAGGCTGTTTATCATTGATATGACCTCTCTCTGACAGCCCTTTTTCAGAAACACAGCTTTACTGTAATGTCATTTCTGAGCTGAATTTTCCCAACCTATCTGATTGCTCACTTTACAACTGGGTTTCTAGGAGTGGGTTGCGGGAAGATGCCTTTGCTTACTCACGACGCGCAAGGAGACTGTGATCTGGGAAGGGATGTTTGTCGGGGACCTGCCTTGAGGGTCACTCGGCACCGGAGTGGGCAGCCGTTTGACTCTCGCTGCTCCCGGTGTGGTCTGACCAGGTTACGGATGAAAGAGATAGTCCAGCGCAAGGGCTAGCAGAGGCCCGGCAGGTGACCAGTGCTCAGCAAACGTTAACTATTGAAATGCCCTTCTCTCCAGCACTCCCAGCAGCCCACAGGGTAAGTCTGGGGACCGTTCCCACACTCCAGGCCAGGAATCCGAGGCTGAGCAGGATTCTATGACAGCAGGACAGCAGCCCATCTTCCCGCTCTCCCTGAGACGCCTCCCCGCGGCGCCCACGGCCATACCTGAATGTGAGCGGCCGGGGTAGCCCCAGGTCCCGTGTTCTTTCCAAGGCCAGCACCATGCACCCGCCTTCCTCTTTGTCCTCACGAGAGCCCTGTGAGGGGCCTTGTGCTGCTCACACTCAGGACGAGGAAACCACAACCTCAGGGGGCCCTAGTGTCTTGCCCACCATTCTGAGACACTTGGAGACAGGTGCGAACGCAGGCAGCCCGACGGCATGTTCTGGGCTCTCATCTGTGACCCCACAGCCCCGCTGGCCGCAGCACAGCCTTCTCTGGCCCCACAGAGTGCAGCGAGGTCAAGCGGGCTTTCAGCCAAAAGCAGAGAGGGACCCCTCCCAGGGCCAGGCTCTGAGCTCAGAGAACCGATTCGCAGAAAATCCCAGACTGACTGGGAGCCCAAGAGAGGTGTGGGACCAGAGAAGGGAAGCCGTGGGCACCCCAAGGCCCACCACGCAGGGCCTGTCGGGACTGTGACCACAAAGGCCAGGCCCCCCGCCCTCCTCCCGGGCTCGCCCACAGGTCACCTGCGCCCACCTGGGAGACCTTCCCGCAGCCTGCCACAGCAGCCTCTGGGCACGGGCTGGGATCCTGGCGCCAGGCGAGAGTTTTGCCACTTGAACCCCTCTCTGGTTCTGACACCCTGTGACTCTGGGCAAACCCCCAACCTCTCTGTGCCTTGATTTCCTTCTCTGTGAAATGACAGTCGTAAAAGAAGGCTCCTGCTTTTAAGGGAAGTTTTGGCCCAAAACACCGATCCTTTATTTTCCCGACTGGTAGGAACACATTAATTCATTTTATTTTTAAAGAGGCCATGAGTGAGATATCCAGAATGTGAAGAGATAAACATCCCATCAGGAGGGTTTTTGTAAAGAAAAGTGTCTCTTTCTGCTTTGAATCAAGACAGCATCACGTAATCGTCAGATGTGACCCACGCCGCCTTGGCCCTCTGCTGGTCACCCAACCACATCTGTTCCCCACCCCATTCCTCCCTGTTGACAGGATTCGGGTTTTGTTTGGTTTGGCAATGGACCCGACTAAAAATATGCAGTTTCCCAGACTCCTTTGCAGTGAGAGTGGTCAGGTGACATGGTCCCAGCCAAGGCAATGGAGGTGAGCTGCCCAGAGGGGCCCTTCCAGAGGGACAAGACGGTACAGCATCTCCCTGGCCCTTTATCCTTCCTGGAACGCTACGAGTCCCAAAGATGTGGCATTCACCTCAGGACCTGAGCCCACAGGCCCAGAGCCCAGAAGATGGAGAGAACCAGGCTCCCTGCCCGGTCTGCCCACCCCCACCTTCCCCGCCTAGGACAACACCCCTGTTATCTGCAGCTGACCCACGTGCACCTGAATACTAGGAGCTGCAACCCTGACCTCATCTTTGAGGAGTAAACACAGAAGAGTGTTAGACCGGCCATCTCCCTGGAAATAACTCCCACCCAGGCCTGGGGGCCCCACCTCCCTCTTGCCTATCAGAGATGATTGACATTAATAGCGTCCAACCACAGTGTTCTCTGTCTTCTTTGGGCACTGAAAGGCAGACACCTCTGTTCACTAATGTAAATATTGTATTTACTGGGGCTTATTTATTTATGCATTTCTTTAGTGGAAGCAGCCTTCAGGTTCCCTGAGGCGTAACATGACATGCAGGCTGCAGCGCCCTGGAGCTGCTGTCTCCTCCTGAAGTGGTGACTGATGGAGATGGCACTCAGGCAGAGGGCCTCGGCGTCTCCATCTGTGCAGTGGGGATGCCCAGACCGTGCCTGCCCGGTCCCGGGACTGCCCCCATCTCGGTGATGAGACCAAGGCTGTGGTCTCTGAGCACGTCCCCCCTCCTCCACTCTCCCCGTTCCGGCCCACTGGGAGGTCCCCACGCTCCCCTTGCTGGCCCCTAACCCAGGCCAGTGCCTGGAATACAGCTGCCCCAGCTCCCCTCCAGGCTGAGCCTTCACATCTCCATTCAGAGGCCCTTCTTAGGGCTTCCCCGAAACCCCCTACATGCCCAGTGCCCCATCCAACGCTCCCCCAAAGCCTGCAGCCGCCCAGCACAGTCCGGCCTCCCCGTGGACTGTGGGCTGAGATAGAAATGACCTTGCTTGTTGTTCACGGCTGTAAACCCAGAGCCGCCCAAGTGCTAAGCACGGAGTCAGGCTCCACAGACACTTGCTGCCCATGGAATGACTGGCGCTGACCTAGTGGGAGATGCTGTCATTTCACAGCGGTGGCTATGGAGGGCTGGGAGGTACAGCAAGGCCTCATTTTGCCACATCTGTGTTTTCTCTCCCACACACCATGTCCTTACACCTCCTACCCTTGGGGAAAGGAGGGGAGTGTCTCATCGCATTGGCCCCGGTGCCGCGACAGGAGAGATGGCTAACCCCAGGTGACCGAGAGTTAAAGGAAGGACAGCCTAAAAGGACAGGAGGGAGAAGTGAAATACTCAGAATTCCCTTCACTTCCCCACTGCACTGAAGCCTTGAGGCAAGGAGGTGAGTCACTAGTTGGAGAAGAGGGAACTGCACTTGGGGAGAAGGAACAGCAGGTGCAAAGGCCTTTGAAGAATGGCGGGTTGTGGGTGTGTCAGGGAACAGAGTGAGGAAGGCCGAGGCTAGACTGTGGTGGTTGTTGGATTTTATAACACGGTATTACCATTAACTCTGCTTATAATAATGATAATGTCTGTCCAGCACCAACTATGTTCCAGGTACTTTACCTACACCATCTCAGTCCCTACACACCCCAGGAGGTAGGCCCTACTATTATCCCATTCTATAGAGGACAAACCTGAGGGCCAGAGAATCAAACTGACTTTTCCCAATACACCCGACAAGAAGGGGCAGAGCTGGGATCTCAATCCAGGCTCCTGGCTCCTCAAACGTTGTTCTCAAATGCCATTTTATACCGCGGTCCTTGCCCTTGGGCAACGTGAAAAGAGCTGTTTGTCACCCGGCGATGATGGATCACTCAGCTCTCAGCACATCCTGCTACGTAACGGAAGCACAAAACCTGTGGCACGTGAGGGTAGCATTTATACCCTGTGTCATAACTGGTCAGGTAGGCGTCGCTGCTGACGCTGGCTGGGCTACTTACATGTCTGTAGTTCTGCTGGGATGAATGGGCGTCTCCCATCCTTCCTCAGCCAAGCAGCTCAGGCCCTGCTCACACAGACAGCAGAGGCACACGAGGACTAGTGGACATGGGTAAGAGCTCCTCCAAGCTTCTGCCTGAGTGACGTCTGCTAACATCCTATTGGCCAAAGGAAGTCACATAGTGAAACCCAGACTCCAGGGACAAGGAAATCTACCCGCCTCTTAGTAGAAGGTGCTAAAAGCACTCAGCAAAGGGCTTGGACCCAGGGAGGGCTGAGGCCCTGAGGCCACTTATGCATTCCACCTGTCGTAGGTGAGGAAGGCCCAGGCCAGGGCCAGAAGAGATGCTGGGTGGGGAGACAAGGGGGCCTCTCTGAGCCCGGGTCCTCCCCTGGGCAAAGGAAGAGTGACTTGTCCAGGGTCCAGCACGAGGCAGTAGGAGAGCTGGAGCCCTTGTCCAAACCGTCTGACTCCAAGACCCCTTCCCCTTGAGGTGTGAGCCTGGGTGGATCACTAGATCCAACCAAGAAAAACAGAAACTCCGCTGAGTATTTAAAACAGAGAATTCAATACGTGGAACTGGTTGCTCTGATGATGGAAAACGGAGAAGCCAACCGTGGAGCCCGGGAGGTATGCACCGGCAGGAAGCTGCTGGCACCCTGGGGCCAGAGGGACAGAGAGGGGCCAGGGCTGGCAGAGCCTGCCCCTGCAGCAGCACAGCTGCTGAGCTGCTGAGATGGGAGCTGGTGGGGGAGGACTGAGAGGGGGAGGAGGAGGGGAGGGGAGAGGGGGAGGGGAGAGGGGGAGGGGGAGCAGGGGAGGGGAGAGTGCCCAGCTTCTCCCTCCTCCGGCCCTCCCTCCCAGCTCTCACCAGCGCCTCTCACCAGCCAGACCCAGCCAGAAGCCAGGGGAGCCTGCGAAATGCAGCCTCTCAGCCCCTGCAGCACAGAGCCAGCCAGGGAGGGTTGAGGGATGGGCCTGAGGGCACAGAGAGGGAGCCTCCCTAAGGACAAGTGGCCTCTGTCTCCCGTGTGCTCCAGGCCAGTGCACACATGCAAAGCCCTGGTTCTGACCCAGGAGAGCTGGGTTGGGCCTGAGACTCTGCATGCCTAACAGGCGCCCAGTGATGCCCAGGTTGCTGGTCTGGGGGCCACACTTCCCGAGGCAGCACCAGCAGGGAGCGGAATGCCTACAGGGAGACGCCCAGAGAACATTCGTTTAGTATTTACTGCAGCTGGGCTTTCCCTCCTCCTTCCAGCCTCTGAGGCAGGAACTGCAACGGGAGAGAAAATCAACACCACCAACTCAAGAGACTCACCGGGTCACCCCTCTCGTAGGTGGCCGAGATGTGATGCCAGGTGGCCCCTCGGCCCGTTTGTTCCTGGGCTCCGGGAAGTGGCCCACAGATGGCCACGACCCAATCGTCCATCTCGCATACACTAGGGGCCCAGCCTTCTCATTCACAATCTCAAATCCTCACGACCTGAAAAAGAAAGATCACCAGCTCCATTTTAAGTCGGAGGAAACCTAGGCTCAGGAAATTTAAAAACTTCACCACGGGTCCCCAGTGAATGAAGGCAGAGCCCTATTTGAACCCAAACCTGCCTAAACCCTCTGCTCAGGCATCACCCCTGCCTCTCAGGCTCACCCTCCATCACTCAGCAGTACTGAATTCGCAGAGCCTACAAGGCCCTGTTGAAGAACGTGGGGCCTGTGATCCCCCACCTGGATTCAGACTCCAGTCCTCCCAGCCCTCCCAGCCCTGCGCACGAGCTGTGCCGCCTGGGACTCTCACTCAGGTGCCTCAATCGTCAAGTGGGGACAATGACATTCCTGACTCCATCAACGCGTTGGGAGGCACCATCCAGTTATCCCGTGCGACCCTTGGCACGTTCACACTCTGGATAAATATCAACCTTGTTGCAAGTACACAACATTCATGACGCTTAGATTCTGGTGGAGAGACACAACGCACAAATCATCAAAACTAGGCATTCGTCGTGTGACTGAGTGTCCAAGATTAGAGTTCCAAGAGAGTGTGTGCGATGGAACAGCAGCACGGCACTCTCCGAGCCCTCGCCCAGGCCCTGTGGGACTGGGTGCCCGCGAGGCGGCCCGCTCTGTGGATTGCTCACAGCTCTCCCAGATGGGAGCATGTCCCATCTCCTCACCAAGCCAGCCTCCACTGCTGCCTGGGCTAAGACCTGGGGAGAGCAGCCTGGAATGTTTGGGGCCCAGACACCTCCGATGCAGAGGCGGCGACACAAGGCCACTGAAAGGTGGCCTCAAACCTCACTTCTCCAAACCGCACACAAGATGCTGGGCAAGTCTGTTTCTGAGAAGACAGGCAGGGATTTGAGCTTCTGGCGCTTGTTTGCACAAAGGATTTCGGCCTTCTTTCTCCTGTCACACAGCTTAAACACGTTAGCTGACCCTTAAATGGAATCCCCACGATGCCCCCCTCTCCCTCCAAGAGAATTTGCCGGTGTGGGGGGGGGGGTGCGGGGGTGGGATAAAATGCATTGTGTCCCAAGGGCTTTATTCCTGGCACTGTAGGGTTGATGACTCCATGCTAACTGTATCTTCTGGGTTTTTGAGTGTCTTTTTCTCTTCTCCTTTACCTTTTAACTAAAACACAACATAAAATAAGCGTTTTGATTGCATTCAGCTGTGAAGAGGGACGTACATATCCACCCCCCCTCCGCCACCTCTGCTGGCAGAGATCAAACGTGAATTTCTCAAAAAACAAAAAGTGGAAAGTTTACAAATACAGGACTCAAAATCTGCAACAGCACACCATCACTGCAAGCCAGGGATGTGTGCAGTCTGACATGCTTGTAGGCAACCAGGCCTCCATGCTTTTCTCTAATCCCACGTGCAAAGATGGCACCAGGGCCACTTTCTGCCAGAAAAAAAGAAAAAAGAAAGCCCAGAAGAGGCAATAGTCTCTGCACCAGCTCAGGCCCTATCAGCCTGGCTGGCAAACTGAAACATCATATTTTAGGCCGGAAGTGGTCAAATAGGCTGTTGAATTCATTTTCTAAAAAGTCTCACTCCGAACAAATTTATTCATTTACACGAAGTCTGAAAGTGCTTTTCCTTGTTGGGTGTCTGAAACCTGAAGTATTTTCAACCAAACAAGAAAATGTTCACTGTTGAACGGCCTATTAGAGCTGTCACAAATGTGATTTCTGGGAATAAACAAGATCATAAGAAGGCTGGCCGTAGCAGAAACGTAAGTCAGCGTTAATAGGTGGTGTAACTAAATTATCCCTTAAGCCAAGGTGCTAAGTGACACAGCTTTTTGTGTGTGAATTATAATACAGTCGCCTCCCTGGGCCTGCACAGATCTGAATTGGACCTCTCTCCAGAATCACTAATTTTATTTTTCGGTTTCTATGTATCAAATAGCTCCCTCTGTTCTGCACGCGAACCAAAGTACTTGAGACATACAAATTCATATTTTCTCCATATCATTTTACAGAGGTTCACTTGATACACACCTGGTTCCATAAACAATGTTTATTTTTTATGGGTTAGTATCTTGCTCAAGAAAATTAAAACTAAGTTTCAGGAAGCTTTATTTTCATTCTAACTATTGTTCGCTGGTCACTGCCACTCAGTACTTAGATGACTTTTTCCCCAAAGGGTAAAACATCTTTAAAGCGGAACACAGTCTATTTAAACAGCTGGTTTTTGCGCAATCGTTTTATCAATGCGTAGATTCGAGGTATGAGTAGTCGGTGACTTGCTCAGGTTGTAAATTCATACAGGTATAAAAGCTGGCATGTCATTCAATTAAATTTTTAGAGAGCAACGCATGATTAATTACTACCAGTAGGATGGGGTTATTGGCCTCTGCTGCATTTACATATTTCTATGTCTTTAAATAGGATTTCACATTTGGAGTGAAATGAATTCCTGCCTATCTCCCGGCCGAGGACAAATGATAACATTATTTTTAGGAAAAGAAATAGATCTTTTTGTTGCTGTTGTTGAATTCCAGTTTGTTTAAAATAATTGTCAACATGCACCCTATTTCTTTTTAAATTAAAGAAAAGATACAGCAAATTATTCCATAAAACAAATTAAGGAATCGTGTTGTCCCATGAAGAATCAAAACATTGAAATTATCCAAAAATGTTTTTAAACCATTTTAACATTAAATATGTTGAACGACGTGCTCATGGTTATTGCGACTCTCTCTAGCAAGAGGTGGGGATAGAAAAATGTTTGTTTGTTTTTGAAATCAAGTAGAAACTTTTCCCAGTTGGAGAGGAGGAGCTTCATTCCTGGGAGATGGAGGTTGAAAAGCTTTAAAAAGCCGGCCATACCATTTAGCAGGCGCTGATATAACGAAATACAATGCCCAGGGTGGGAGGCCCACACACATTCACCACTTTCAGAAGGATAATACTTTTTTGAGAAGGTGAGACTCTGGTATCATTATCTGTACACTCCTGATGTTAATTGGCCATTTGTACGCATATAAGATTCCATGCAATACTGTAACACGTATATTCTTCGTGAATGTTACAAACAGAGAATCATAAGTATATCGCTTACTTGATAAAACATAGACAGGCAACAGATACAATTTTGAAAAAGCTGCTAAGCGTTGCCTTTATAATGTCCATATAAATGTCCATATAAAATAATGTTTTATTTTGAACATTTCCAGAAAGTATTTCGTTGAACTCTAGCTGGGTGATGTCTCAGACCACTTCAGGACAGTGAGACACTTGGTAGTTAACAGTCGCCTTAAATACTTTTATACTCTTGGATGGCTTGGCACGTTTCAGGCCAGGCCTCAAAAAAGTTTTTCTTCTTGCTTTTAGAGATCACTGGATGCACTCCGGAGAGGTGAAGGGGGTAAATCTCAGTATCTATCTTCCCCACCCCCACCCGTGGGTCACTCTAGAAGTAACATCGCCATCTACTGGACAGCAGGGGAACCTCCCTAAGAAGGGGAAGGTTTCTGTTTCGGCAATCCAAACTAGAAAGCTTACAAAATATATTTAAGATGTACAATGCCATAGCTTCAGGGACAGAAGAGCAAGAACAAAATACTCTAATCAAAAGTGCAGGCAAGTGGAAATACCCTTTTTGCACAAACTGGTCTGCAGCAATTTTGAGAACTGGTTCTACCCCATCACCCCATCCCCTGCAACAACTCCCAGAGAGGAGGTGAAAAAAGTAAGACAATTGCTATTTTTAATTTCTAAGAGTTTTTATATTAGTTATGAATTTCTGGAGTGAGAGGTGTTTTTTTTTGGTCACTAGTCAGCTCCCACCTTTTTCTCTGCACACTTCCTGGGGGTTGGGGACACGGGGGAGGCACACACACACACACACACACACACACACATTCACACACTCTCTCTCTCTCTCCTTTGGAGTTCTTTAACCTAACAAGGCTTTGGGAACACAAGAGCATAAAACTGGGATAACCCAAATATTATTCTAAACTCTTTTTTCAGGCACTTAAGCAAAACAACTACCATTTTTGAAGTTTATATAACTTTTCCTTATAAATACAATCACATTCCAATTATACATCTGCATGATGTCGATTTCTGGATTTTCTTATGCAAGTAACAGTCCTGCTTTCCCCCCTTCTTCCTGCTCCTAACTGATCACTGGATTGGCCTTGAAATTTGAGCATTAATTGCTTTCTCTTGGTAATTAAAGTCAGGGTATTCTTTTCATGAGAGAACTACATTGTTTTACAATTTCCCATACTCCTTGGAATAGTTTCACGGAGGAAAGGAAAGAAGTCAATTGTGGCCCAGAATATTAACATATGTTTTCTTTACAACCCTCCCAACACTTGACAAGATGTTCAGAAAAAAAATTTGGTAAATAGATAACATGTTAAATGAAAATTACAATTAAATTTATTAAGTATCACAATTCACCCACTTTAAAAGAGAAACATTTCTACTGAATTTTATTTTTCTTTATTACACATCATAAAAAAATTTTAAGTGTCCTAGGAGCCTTAAAGTCAGGCTTGCTATGGTATTACAGTCACAGATTACTTCATTTCATATATATATTCATTTCATATATATGTATATATATATATATATATATATATATACATATACACCAAAGTATTTACATTTTGTAACTTAATTTCTCACTCAATAGAGTTTGAAAGATCTGGACATTATAAAGGCAAACTCATTTTCGGCTGGAATGAAATGAGAAAATGAAAATTTTTTAAATTCATTTTATTAGGTAAATTCAGTAGGGACTCCCTGTTAGCCCCTGAAATAAACCAGCCTGCTTCTGTTTACTTTCTCCATCTTTCGGAGCCTTAAAATGAAAACTGAAGTCACTGCAATAGGTAAGCATACTCCCCCTCCCCTTCCTACCCGATGTTTGTGTAGAAATTGTAGGGTCTCTTTTCCTAAAAGTTGAGAATGGTGCTGAGGGCTGACAGAGTGAGTTCAGCCTAGGAGCCCCACAGAAAGCTCACTGGTAGAGAAAGAAAGGGGCAGCGGGACGGGACGGGACGGGACGAGCGGGGTCAGAGCCACAGGAGAGACTGGAGTACTCACAGTTTCCAGTGTCTGCTGCTGTCTCTCTGTGTCCTGGTCCCGATTCCAGAAGGAATGTGGCTCTTTGTGCAGAACCAGAATGCACATCCAGGAAGCTGGCAAAATCACTAGCTAAACAATCAATAGAGGAAACACAACAGATTAAAGTACCAAATTTGTTTTTTTCTCCAATAAAGGAAAAGAAAGTGAGCAGAGGGGAGGGTGGGGAAAGAAGACATGTTATAATTTTTTCCTGTGACCTGAGCTGGGCCCCAGGTTAATCTCAGTTCAAATTTGGATATTTGCTCTCCTGCACCCGCATAATATAAAGGATCATTCGACCGCCTGCAATGGACGCAGGCTTATCGCAAACCCTGAGATCCACTGTGTGAAACAGTCTGAGTTCCTGCCGCAGATCTGAAATGAGTTTTCCTATGAAAATACACTTTAAAACTCAGCGACCCCCGCCCCTAACGAATGCCTTCAGTGACAGGAAATGTTAACCATTTTAAGCACTTTTTATTTGCATTTGCTCTGAAGCTGAGGGAGTGAGGGGAGAAATGTACATTTAATGATTGGTCGTGAAAATCAGATCATGGAGTGAGCATGGATCTGCATGTTTCTGAGCCGGTTGGGGGGTGGGGGTATTGAGCATCCTGGGTCCTGAATTTGCCCAGACAAGAGTGACTTCGCCCTGAATTCCCACAGAAGCTAGAAAGGGTTTGCATATATAGCAGTTGAGCCGTATCTCAAATTCTCTTGCTCTGTTGATAAGTTAAAGGCAGTCCCCTTCCACTTTACAGCTGGGGAGTCTACAGAAAAGTGCCTGTCTCGCACTGTTTGTGGCACTGAGATGTGTTTGTGCGAGTGTTTTCTCCCTGGGATCAAAAGGGGAAAAAAAAAAAATTCCCCCCAACTCAACTAAACACTGAAGCTCAGAAACACACGGAATGTGTATAACATTGTCCTTCAGAAATCCATCTTGATTTTTTTAAAAAAAACTACTCTCTTTGATCAAAAGCCGACAGAGAATTACATTTTTCTCCATTCTGTTGCATTTAACGTGGACTAACACGGGGTGAGTTTAAACAAACAGATGGCCTGGGCATGAATGCTTCTTTCAGTTTGAGTAGCTCAAGGTGGGCTGGATCCATGGGGGGTGGGGGTGGGCCGCAGTCCGGAGGATTAGTTGGAGGGGAGGAAAGCTGCAAAGTTGAGGGGGGAGCTAAGACAAGAATAAACCCATGATGAAAACAATTTTTAAACTACCTCTCTGCTTTGAGCCTGCGATCCTCCAGCAAGTGTGCAGTGTAACTGTTGAAGTTCTTCTGCCTAAAAGATAAATGGCCTACTTGATTCAAGAGTGTCAAGTAGGAAAAACAAAACAAAACAAAAACTCTTCAAAGTATATTTTCAGAAGATAATCTAATGCACAATGAACGCCCGGTAAGAGGGGTGTGCAGGGGAGAAGGCCTGCTCCTCGTGGGAAATCCTGCACGACAGTGGTACTCCAGCCGCCTTGGGGTAGAACGGGGGCCAACTGAGAAAGGCCAGTCCTGGGTTGAGGGTCTTCACAGGGTTGAACTGGACCTACCCACCCCGCCCCCCGCCCCGAAGTCCCAATCAGAACGGCTGCTCGTGGCCTCCCATGTGGGAACTCTAAGCCACTGACCCACACGCCATGAAATCCTTCAGCCCAATGGGAACATACAGGGCTGTGCAAGACTGGGGCGAAAATTCTGGGGCGTGTGGACACTTGGAGGTCCCTGCTGAGAGCTACGCAATCTGCACTGTGTCTTCCCCATGTGGGAGGACGGAGGTGCTAGCTGGTGCTAGTCTACCCGTGGGTGGGCCGGCCATGGATGCCCCCCTTGGCGTCAGAGACCTTCCAGAATCCTCTTCCTCCACAGAAAAGGTCTGCAGAAGAGGGACAGCCATCCTCGCCTCTGCCCCACAGCCTGGGAGACATCTCACATCTCCACATCTCAGGTATTAAACCCCAGCCAACTGTTTGGACAGGGTCTGTGCCCTGGCTTCAGGGCCCGGTGGGTGATAAAATGCAGAGGGCATCACAGAGAACCCTCTGAGCCAGCGTTCCCTCTCCCTTTCACTGCCTGCAGAGCAAGCATGACCTTCCCTCCGTGCTCCTTCCCTCTGGTGCTCAATACGCCACTGAAAGGAAGGGGAGAAAATATCAACAGGCCGTGTAGAGTCACTTGTCAGCAATGGCACACACCCCGCTGGGGTGCTTAATTAAAGGCCAGGCGATTTCTGGAGGATCAAACCAGAGAGAAGGAACCCAGACCCGGCCAGGCTGCTGCGTGGAAATTCAGGAGGCCTCTGGCCCAGGGACCCCACGACCCAGCGACCGGCCCCATGCTCGCAACCTTCACCGCGTCTCTCGGGTTCCCGGGCCCTGAGCTGTACCTCGAGCTCTTGGCGCTCAGATTCTAGCTTCCCATCCATGTTGGGGCAGACACAGCCCAAGCCTGGAGTTGGCAGGATCCCGACAACTTGGCGAAGGCAAAAGAGCCTGCAGGGGGAGGAAAAGGAAGAATGTTCTAGAAGGAGACAGAGCCCAGGCGCTGGGCCAAGAAGGCAAGCGACACCCACTTTTCTCCCTCACCTGCCCTTTCTCTGCAACGCCGAAAGCAAACCAGGACAGCAGAAACGTATGTGCATAAAGAATGCAGCGACTGCACGCACACACACACGCACATGCACACGTTTTATTTTTAATTTATTTATTTTAAATGCCAGACTATTTCTTCTTACTAAAGGCCTTTTCTCACACTGTTTTATCCCCTAGTTTCACAGAGCTTCCCTCCTTCATGTAAACGAAGGCATTTCCCACAGCCCTTTGGCTGGAATGTTCTAAAATGCTAGCATCGACACATTTCTATTTCATTTTATTGCAGAAAAGTTGTTTTATGGCACAGAGTGTGTGGTGTGTGTGAAGAACGAGCAAAGGAGGGGGGTTCTGCTGCGGAGGGGAGCTGCCCCGTGGTGCCGTCGGCCTCATATAAATCCTGAACAGTGACAGTTGAGCTGGCAGGAGAATTTGGGAAACCAACAGACAAAATATACAGTGCAGCCCGTAGGCCTCACCTTTACGAGGCAGAGAGAGCTTCTGGATTGGGTGGGCCAGGACCTCCGAGGCCACTCATTAGGCACTTGATGAATTGGACATGGGGCCCACTGCCCTCCTGGGGCAGTGAAACGCTCGAAAACCAAGTTTTATTAACCTAATAAAATGAAAGGGAAAAAAAGTCAGGAAAATTTCAGCTGGAAGAATAAACGCGAGGAGCGGAGCAAGTTAACCTACTTTTCATGTATTTAGAACCGTTTTGGCAGCTACGGGCAGTTCCCAGAAAGACCCCACATTCCTAACATCAGATTTCAGCCAACTGGCTATCAACTGGCCACGGCAGCCTAGGAGATCCAGGGATGCGTTGTCTCCACGGTCCCGGGAATGAATACAAGTCAGTACTTTTTCATCACGTTTAACGACAAAGCCAGGGAGGGAGAGAAGGAAAAATGGCAAAGCAAGGTCTTCAGGCGCAGACAGGGGGTTTGGAGAATGAAACGGACGCTGGCTGAGGTCTCGGGAATGCCGTCGCACCCAGAATCAGGGCTGCTGCCTCACAGGGGAGCAGTAACGAATTGGAGTAGTTCAAGCACAGGCAGACGTGCCAGGCTCTATTTTACCCACAAACGCCTCCAGGGACCCTCAGCTTGGGCATGGGGGCTGTGAGGGTCCCTTCTCAGAGACCAGCCCAAGCCCAGCCTTCTCGTGCTCCTGGAGCCGCTCGGGGCCGTCTCAGTGGACCTGGAGCCTACTTTGTCCAGGGGCCTGGCCAGGCGACCACTCACCCGCAGGACGCAAGGGAGCTCTGTTATCTGTGGGACCGAGAGGCACAGGGTGCGGGCCAGCCTGTGTTCACACAGCGCCCCTGCACAGGGAGGAAACATTTCGGCAGCAGATGCTTCAGCAGGACTGTGCAGAGGAGGCAAAGATGCCTCCTCCCGATTCCCCACTAGGTGTGCGGGCTCAGAGCCGGCCTCGCGGCACCATCACCCATGGGCAACGTGTCGGCAGCAAACGTTACATCAGCCAGAATCAACAAGCCCCACCCCAAAACCTCACCTCCTGGTCCCACTCAGCGGGCCGGCCCACACCTCCCCATGGCCATTCCTTTTTTTTAATAACACACATACACACACTACTGCCACTATGCATGTGTACGACCACTGTCCACTCCTCGCTGGGCCCAGCTCCGGCCTCTGGGCAAGCCTCTAACACACACAACCCGGCCCTGCCTGCGTGCAGATAACAGGATCTCATCTGCACATGCTCCTGCTATCCAGTTCCTAGGGTATTTGTGCAGCCCTGAAAGGTGGGATAGCTCTGGGTTTTTTTAAGTTGCTTTAAAATCTCATTGCTACAGGGGATTTCTAGGGCAGTGAAACTCTTCCGGATGATACTGTAATGGTGGATACATGACATCACGCATTTATCAAAATCCACAGAATGTACAGCACCAACTACGGACTTAACTGATATATTGATATTGCCCCATCAACTGCACCAAATGCACCACACCCATGCAAGACATTAGCAACAGGCGAAACTGAGGTGATGGGGTAGCAAGGAGATGGGGACTGGCCTTTCTCCTCAGTTTTTCTGTAAACCTAAAACCACTCTAAAAAATGAAGTCTACTAATAAAAGAAACCTCGCTGCCAAAGTGATAGAAGGAATTTTCCTTCACTGCTCTCTTCCCCGTTTGGTATTTCCTGGGAAAGCAGAGAAGTTCAGAAAGTAGAAAGTTCAAAACAGAACAAAAATCCTACCAGCGCACAGCTATTCCACCCACCCCATTCGAGGCCATCCTGTGTTGGGTCCGGTCTCGGAGGACGTTTTCCAAGACTGGTTTCTGCAGACAGGGGTGGCCTGATGCTTCTGCAGTAGCGACAGTGATAAATCCAGGTTACTTGAACAGTATTCTCATTTACTTTTTATTTTTACACTAACGTCCCATGGTTATGAGTGCAGTGACATGATCGCTGTTAAATAAACTGAAATCCTGCTTTCATTTCACAGCTGGTTCCATCCAATTTACAGTCAAATGTCAGCCCATCAACCAGGATTACCACGGTCGTTCTGCCCCTGCCCTCTGAGGCCAAAGAGAAGGGTTCTGAGCCCACCTGTGAGCCCACAATCCTGGCACGGGTTGCGCAGGAGAAGCCACCTTGGGGTGTAGACTCCGAGGTGAAAGCTGACCTGAGGAGCCTCCTGCCCCAGTGGGAGGAAAGATGGGAAGCTCACTGCCAACCTCTAGGGAAAGATGGGCCCTGTCCCTGTGAGAGAGAGACAAAGATGGGGAGAGACAGAGATAGTGAGTCAGAGAGAGAGAGATGGGAGGAAGGAGCAGAGAGACAGGGACAGAAAGAAACAGAGACAGAGACAGAATGAGGGGTGTCTGTAAGCCAGAAACTCGGCCTCCCCGCTCATCCTCCCTGGGAGCTGGCGTCTGTAGCCCCGGCCAACGTAAGCGTGGACGCAGGGCAGGCACTGCATTTACACCGTTTATACCGGGCCTGCACCCCCGCCGCCGTCAGCCCTGACACTCAGGCCTCGGCATGTCGGTTGCTCCGTCCTGCGGCCTCAGTGGCGCCACCAGGTGGTGAAAGCACAAACCCAGGTTCCCGCCCTCCAGCTCCGCTGCAGGAGCTTTCTACGAGGGTAGCCCCAGGATTTCAAACACCATGCACACACAGAGGGAGACACCCAGAATACCCAAACCACCAGTTCCATTCTGCCTGGAGCCGACTCACACACAGTGTGAACCCACAGCGCCGCCTAAATCCAGCCGGCGGAAACATGGGGAGCAGGCCCAATGTCTGTGGCCCCCAAAGGAAGGGGGCGACGAGGAACTCCAAGCTCTGGGTTTGGGGACGTCAGCCCCAGTGATGTGATCGCAGCCTCTCTCCTGCCCTTTGTTAGCTCAGAGCCAGTTTTCAAACCTCTAAACCTGGCCCAAGCCCCTCACGCTTAAAATTATACTGTAGGGTTGGGAGGGTGGAGAGAATAGAGGATATCTAGCAGGAAATACACACTCCAAAAAAGAAGAGCCTCCTTAATATTCAGCAAGGTTGTGGGCATTGGGGTGGGGGTTACCAGGCAAGGACGGGGAGGGGAGGAGTGCCCAGGCACACCTGATCTCCCCATCGCCATCCTTCCTCAGAGTCACTTTCTAGACCGCGCCACAGATGTTTTTACGGCACTTCTTAACTGCTGGTTGGCATTGAAAATAAACTTCAGCTAGTACTACCCATAAACAAGCAGTAATTGTCAGAGCTGACGTTTATTGGGTGTTCCCAGCAGGCTGAGCTCAGAACCTGACACGCTCCACCAGGCACTTCTGGGAGGCACCGCTGGCACACCCATTCTGCAGATCAGAAAGCAGAGTCACAGTAGCTGTGTCACCAGTAAGTTGCTGAGCTGGATCCACAGCCCACAGCCAAGCCCTGTCTCTACCCACCTGTGTCAACCCAGGTGACGTGAGGGGCTGCCTCTCACTAAGCATGGTTATGAAAACCCAAGAGAGAAGGAAAGCAGATTTCACTCCATTTACTTCTCCATCAAAGCTGTTTTAGGAAACAGGAAGCCCAAGGAGAAATGTTGGGCCAGGGGAGACTGATGAAAACAGGCCCAGCTGGGCCAAAGGCTAGACACAGGAACAGCCAGCTCCGAGGGTGGCGCGTAACTTTGGGGCCGTCTCCTGGCGTCAGCCCTCCTGAGCAGTCTGGAATTGGCTGCCCAGGAGGTTGCTGCCCTTCTGCATGGACACTTCTACCAGAGAACGGACAACTTTCCAGCACACCGACGAGAAGCTGTACAAAATAAAACAGGGGTGAGCACGCAGACCTTGGGTCAGAAACAGATGGTTTGGGTGTGTGAGCTCTTTCCCTTGCTTTGGGGCAAAGTGTTTGGTCTTGCAGAGCCTCAGCTCTTTCACCTGCAAAATGGGGATCATCACACCTGGTCTGCATGTCCTCATGTATGACGTGCAATCCAGCATCAGATGGGGAGGAGAGGCCCAGCAAGGCCATGTCACCAGGCTCAGGGTTCCCTTCATGCGGCCTCAGCAATGAGCACAGCTCTTGCCCTGGGGTCTTGGCAACACCTCCCATCCGCATGGTCCTACTGACCCCACAGGGCTTTTATCCTGACTACCCAGCAGTCTTCAATGGGAACATTCGTATAATAAAATGCTGACTGCACAAAATGTATGCAAGCTTTTGTAAAATATCCAAATGCTCAGACAAAGGCTAACACACCAAAATGCCAGACTCTGGCGATGTTTAGACGATAAGATTACTGATAACTCTTTTTCAATCCATAGCGTTTAATGTTTTAACTACCTGGATAATAAATAAAGGAAATTAGGAAAAGACAAATAAATACAGCTTAGAGGAAAATAGATGCCTTCTTCTCCTGAACGACACTCATTTCCCACGTGATCGGTGACAATCAAGGCCGCACAACCATGCACCTTGTGCATGGCGCTGAGGCTCTGCAAAGCCAAGCACTTTGCCCTGAAGCAAGGGGAAGAGCTCAGACCTCGCAGGGGCCAGTGTCCGGCCCCTCAGGAAGGACCCCGTCCCTGCCCCTGCCCCTGCAGCACCCAGGCAGGGTTCTGGGTTACGTTGAGGAATGCTCCCAGGCCTCCTGCTGGACGCAACTGTCTGCCCCGACCGGGACCCAGTCCACCCTTCCCTTGCCATGGAACATTCATGCTTCCCTACAGCTTTTCTTTCTCCCTTTTTGCAATTATAGACAACGATGCAGCCACTCTATTTGTGCAGAAAGCAGCCTAGAGCTCTGGATGAGTGCACGGGGGATAACATCCACGCTGCACACCGCTGTCCCCATGAGCCAAAGCCAGAGCCAGCTGTGGGTCTGGGATCTCTTTGTTTTAAGCTTCTCTGGTCCTGAGGATAAAGACCAGCCCGCGCTGGCAGACAGTGCAGCAGGCCCAGCCTCCAGTTCCGTCCCTCACACGGTAGGGCCCCTGCTAGAGCCACGGGACTAAAAATAACCACCACAAACAAATAAAAAGCAAAGCAAAACAAAACAAAAAGCACCCCAGCATCGAAAGCTGGAAAACCCGAGGCCCAGAAATTGAGGATGGGACCGCAATCGAATCAAATCCAAATTGCTGGGGAGCACGCTGGGAGACG